GGAAGTGTGGACACCACACTCTTTCTGAAGAAATTGAGAGACGATATACTCATTGTACTAATTTATGTTAATGATATCATGTTTGGATCTACAAATAAAAATCTTTGTGATGATTTTTTTAAAATAATGAGTAATAAATTTGAGATGAGTCTAATGAGATATCTGAGTTACTTTCTAGATTTTAGCATTAAGTAAATTGAGGAAAAAACATTTCTTAGTTAGTTGAAGTATATTAAGGATATCCTCAAGAAGTATAAAATAGACAATGCTAAATCAATTAGTATACCTATGAGTTCCTCAGTTCAGGTTGATAAGGACCCAAAGGAAAAATCTATTGATAAAAAAAAATTTAGAGGAATAATTGGATCTTTACTTTACTTGACTGCTAATTGACCCTATATTATATTCAATGTTTATTTGTGTGCTAGATATTAATCAGATCCAAAAGAATCACATTTGACAACAGTAAAAAAGATTTTGAGATATCTCTTGGGAACTCAAAATATAGGGATTTGGTATCCTAAATTTAGCTCTTCATTTGAAATAATTGGATATTTAGATTTAGATTTTGTAGGTTGTAGGGTTGATAGAAAGAGTGCATCTGGAACTTATCAATTTATAGGAAATTCTTTAGTTTCTTGGTCCAGTAAAAAATAGAATTCTTTAGCCCTATATACTACTGAAGCTAAATACATTATCTTAGGAAGTTGTGTGGCACAAGTTCTTTGATTAAAACAATATTTAATTGACTTAGGATTTATAATTAACATAATTTCAATTTATTGTGATAACACTAGTGTCATTTATATTTTAAAAAATTTTATTCAACATTCAAGAATCAAACATATAGATATAAGGCATCATTTTATTATGGATTATATATCTAAAGGAGAAATTAATTAAACCATATTTCTACAGAAAATGAACTTGCAAATATTTTTATAAAACTATTAGCCTTTGATACTTTTAGCACATTAAGAACAAGGCATTATGTGATTGATTTTAATGTTTAATTAAAATTTTTTACAAACTTGATATATGACTTTATGTGTTTTCTATTTTTGTATTTAATATGCTTATTTGTGTAAGTGTTTTTTTATTTTTGTTTTTTATTTTGTGTGATTTTAAAATGTTTTCAAAAATTGGATTTTCTATTTCTAATTGATCGTGTGAATTTTTATAAGTATTTTATTCGTATTGTATGAAATTATTTTCATCCCGTACTAATTATGTAGCACGTAAATCGTTATTTGGGACTAATCATGTAAAGTTTTAATTTTTCTATATATATCATACTGTACGATATTTATATCATCGCGGACGATTTGTATTACTTCGTTGTACACATGTAAATGGTTATACTGGCAGAATCAGTTATTATAACCGATCGTACATATAAAATTTTAGTTCGTACATATGAATCATGTGTCATTCAGTGTGGGGGTAAAACCTAACCATCTTTAAAATGATCTTAAATAATCGATTGTCCCAGACGAAAACCTGTTCGTCTATACGACTGTCTGGTAAAAAAGCCTATATGAAAGGATGCTTCGTAACTTGTATGATTACAAAAATTCATTTCATTTCGAACGTATTTATTCGTATATACAAAATTTAATTCATCATATATAAACCATCAATCGTACAGTACAAACCCTTTTTAAAAATTCAAGTTTTAATCTCTCCCTCTATGTGTGTGCACAGTTACTCAATTACAATCACACTCTCTTAAACTCAATAAAATGAAAAACATAGACTTCATATTTGATAAACTTTTTAAATTGATCTAATTTAAAGTCTTCAATAATTCAGAGTATGATTTCTCTGAAATGTTAGTACACACAAACAACAAAGCAGTGCATCAAAATATGTTAGGAGAAATAATAATTAAAATAATAATATTTAGAATCATAAAAAACAAACATATTGTAAGAATATCAATAATAAAGAATTAAGTTGTAACTATCTTAATATAATAATTTTTTATTTTAATATTTAGGCCCCTCCGTGGGTTTTCCTAAAAAAAACATAAACAAAAAACAACTAAGTCCTAAAGATCTGGTCATATATTTTCTTTCTCAGCTATATTAGTACTTGTAAATGGGATGCATCGAGAATCAAAATATGGCTCGTACTCACTATGAAAAGTCAAATACTAATATTCTAGTATGAACCTTCTATGATATAGATCATTAATTACATTATATAGTCTTAGGTGCACTTGATTTTTATATTTAGAGCTTTCCATGTAAGATGAAGTTGAGTTGTTGTTTCATTATCTCAATGAAAATGTTTACCCCATTAATGAACTCATCTATTAATATCTTTTATCCTTGTACTAATTGGTTATACATCCAACATTTTTAGTTTCTAATATCTATAATACATCCTACATATAATATGAAGATATTAGACATTATTGGAAAATCTGTTGAAGGAAAATAGATAAATTTTAATTTTAATTCTAAATCAAATGGTATTATTTTACTCAAGTATCATGTCAAAGAAAAATATAGCAGCCTCCCGGCATCTCTCCCATTTAGGAGAAATAGAAAGAGTCTTAGCCTACCCGCCACATCAAGAAAGATGTGTACAGTTAGTTTCGGGTGACACAGATGCTGTGGCCTTCAATCCTACTATGCAAAGAAAGGTGTGTATAGTTCCTCGAGGGGATACCTGTATGGAAATGTAGTTTTTACCGGAGTTATTTTTAATTGATTTATTGATTTTCTTGGCGTGTGAAAATATAGTTTACATGACAAAACCATCTAAGGATACTCTCTCACTAGCTCTAATCATATCTTTCATAAGAGCTTCTCCAATATTTTCACATGTCTCACCACATCTTATACAATTTTCCCCTAAGTATGAGGGGAATTTTATATCTCACATTATAATTCTCACCACATCTTACGAAAATCAACTCCCTCTCAAGTCTCACCACATCTTGTACATAATAACTTCCTCTAAAATCTCACCACATTCATCAACTTTAACCATCGAATTTGAATTATACTAAAAATATGCACCTCAACTACCTCTCTAGATGCAAATATCTACCAAGAAAATCCATGAAAAAAAATAAAATCTTATGATGAATTTTTTTGCAAAAGAACAGAGAACATCGATGATTGAGACAACAAACGTCGACAAACTTGATGGAAGTATGTTGGGTGATGGATTGGTCTTGGCAGCGACGGTGTTCAGCTAAGGCCACTGATGCGAGCAAATTTAGCCGAAGTGCGAAAGGGAGAAAATGATAAGGAAGACGAAGTCGAAGGGAAATAGGGCCTTCGCCATTATATTTACCGACGGATAATACGCCGGAAGCTTTATCGTCGCAATATTCGCCAGGAAAATTTCACTGAGTATAAGTAGCCCCATGAAATATCCGTCAGATCGTATGCCATAAATTACTAGTGTATAATACGTCGGGATAAACTGTTGGTCTTATAAATTATGGCGGAAAGGTTGGAAGATAATACATCGGTAGCGAACTGGCAGAGATTATGCCAAAATCGACGCATTTATATTACCGTCAAAATATCTGTCGGTTCATGCGCCACCATTTTTTCCAGCGTATTTGCTTCCGTCGGAAGTTCCAACAGTAATCGATGGTTTTCCTATAGTGCTTAAAGGAACTTGAATTTTTTACCATCCAAAAAGACAAGATCATTAAACGAAACATGATTACCCGCCATTAAAACGGAACAATCCTTTGAAGGTGGAATAACCATGAAAAAAAATCATAGAAATGAACCAAGAAAAAGATACATAGCTGACCCAAGGCCGAATGAAAATAAAAAGCTTCAAGGAAAGGTTGAGTGAAACTTCCATGAGAAGGATGCTTGGAGAGCAAAATATCTCTGCTAGATTTGATCCAAGATGCTAGAGCGTTGGAGGTGCGTAGGGTAAATACTCTAGCAGAGTGGTCGAGGCGTGAAGAGAATAACCAGTGATTATAATATATCATGTTATAGGTGTCAAACTCATTATCTCACAATTGATAATATATTAAACTATCAAAGGCCAAATTGATAGAACTAATCTCCAAAAAGCTCGGAATAGATCCATCAAATTTCAACAATATTATCATTTCTTTTTACATGAATCATCTCCTCTTTATGAAAGCAGTATTGTACGTAAGATGAATTGCTCACAAAATAATAAGATATAAAAGGAGGTAATAGCTTATAGAAACTAAATTTTTTTTGAAATAAATTTCAAAATATCATATATGCACCTCCACACTATCAAAAGCCATCAGTTGCAGGGCGAGCACAGTGGGCAATTGCGTCTTACTCGCTCCTTGCCACATGTAAGGAGTACACGGCCAAAGCCAAGTCCAAGTGCAATCAATTGTTTGGTCGACAGCCTCTTGATAATGCATCAGTTGCTGCAAACGAGTTATCATAAATATATTTTAAATTTTTTATTTGTCCCCTATTTGACCAACTAGAGTAAAATGGAGTATCAAATAGATTTTTTATACACTACTCTTTTTGATATGTTGATAGAGAATCAAAGCTCTCTATCAAAATATTTTAGATTCGAGTCTTATATATATAACGTGTGTATAAATTTAATTTAATTAACTTAAATATCAAAAAAAGTTGTTCTTTTATAATAACTTTTCTTATTATTTTTTACATGAAATTTTGTGCCTGAAGATAAATTATTTTGTGTGATTACCGGGTCATCGGGAGACGAATCAGGATGCGCCACCTCACTCAATATACAGCGGTACACAATATTGATACACAATAAAATAATGAGCATCTAAATTTTTCTTTGTTGATCGTACATAATAATTTCTCGTGCTTGAGAGATTTTTACTCTTTCACTTTTGTCCTTTAATAACTCGTTCCTTACCATCAACCTGCTATATATTATCCTCAGTGCGGAGCTGTAACTCACTTCTTCACCAAACCTATCATATATATATCTATATAAAATATCTGAAGCATTCGTATATATACACACGCATACATGAACTTCGTTCCATAAACCCTCATGATGCAAACCAATCTTCTACCTTTCGCTATCTTTCTTCCTCTATAGGCGAGATGTCCAAGATCCAGTGCCAAAAACCCAGCAACCCCACACTGAAGCTCTTCGGCTTCGCCTTGGAAGCTTCTGTTGATCCCGCGCCGATAACAGATTCCTCCTTCTCGGCCTCCACAGCCTCCGTCGCTGCCGCAGCCTCAGCCGCCGATGGCCGGAAATTCGAGTGCCAATACTGCTTCCGCGAGTTCACCAACTCCCAAGCTCTCGGTGGCCACCAAAACGCCCACAAGAAGGAACGCCAACAGCTGAAGCGCGCTCAGCTCCACCAAGCCGCGGCCGCCTCAAATCTCTACTCGCGCGCCAATCCGATGGTCTCCGCCTTCGCAACCCCGCCGCCGCTCCTACCCGACTACTTAGTCGCCGGAGCATCACCGCCGGCCAACAGTTTTCTTTACTTCTCTCGTCCATCTCTTCCCTCACAGTTCCAAATCTCCCATGGCGGCGTCTTCCCCTCCTTTTCGAACACACCGCCAACTTTAGGCCGCGGGATCGCCGACGGCGTGGTGGTCGGGCGCCGGATCCGGTCCGTACCGGTTTCGCTTGGTCAGTTCGCTGCTCCGACCATCCCTGGCGGCTCTGACAACTCGTATGGAGTAGACCTTCATCTCAGCCTGGCGCCAGCGCGTTCCAGCATCGTTTGATCCGTCATTCGTTGTAACTCTCTGTACCATCAATTAAACCTGTACATCTAATCTTTATTTTCCTAATTTTGAACGCATTATGCTTGTGGATTTCATATTAATTAAAGCTTTAATTTTTTTTTTCAAATTTTGTTAATGAATTTGTGTTTTTCCTTTTTATGAAGAAAATTTGAGGCTGAAATTTTCTCAACTAATACATAATTAATCAATTAATTCTTGCATTATACTCTTACCACAGCAAATAGATAAATTTTATGTTAGAAAATAAGAGGAAATTTTTTTTTAATACATTAATTTATGTGACATTATACAAAGTTTGATTCAATAAATGAATCAGTGGCAGATTAATATTTTTTTTTATCCACAAGCTAAAACTGATTTAATGAATATACAAAACTAAGAGAATATTATTCAATATACTATTCCAATATATATCTCAGAGACCTTGAAGCAATTTTGGCTTTAGCCTTATGAGATTTAGGCGAAAGCTTTATTATTATTTTTTAAAAATAATTTTTTAGTAAAAAATTTTAAACTAATAATCGAATGATCATGCCTGTGCAATTTTATTTTATTTTAGTTTTAAAATGGATCGGAAAAATGCTTTTCTTGCAAAACTATTTAAACAATTATTTTTATTATTTTTAATTCTCGTAATTAAATTTCAAGTTTTTCTTTTTAAGAAAAAAAATACACAACCCTTCATTAATAAGTAAATTAAAACACTTTATTCTCTGTCAGCATAATCAAAGTGGCTATTTAGTTTTATATCGTCTTACTTTAATCTTCTGAATATATTTCGCCTAAATAATTAGAACTTTACTCTTTTATTTTTAAAAGAGATCACAACTCTTCATTAAAAATAAAAAAGCTTTTATCACACAACCATTAGAAAATGTTTCATTCTTGTTTTATCTATGCTAGAAAGAAAGCGCAAAAAATTTAACAAAAGAGCAATCAAAACTTCTATATGTATGAATATATGTTACTCATATTCATGAAAATCTAAAAACTCTTCTAAGTTTACGTTGTCGGGCGACTTCGCAGTTAGCTTCCTAGTGATATCCTGGATGTTCATAACAAGCTAAATCAGTTTCTAGAGTTCAGCGATAGATTGTTATTGATGTTTCTCCCCAGTAGGCTACTTGTTCTCTTGTAGTGAGCAGGGACACATTCACACGAGCATCATTAATTAGAACCTTCTATACGGTTTTTTGATCTATGCAGTCTTAAATGTTATAGTCGTAGTCATTATGGTACATAAAAAGTTTGATTTCACCTATAAATGGTTATCATTACAGTAGTCATGGGAAAATTAAGAGGAGGAAGCTGGTAAGCTTGTAAAGGCTTTCCAGGGATGACCAATAATTAATGTACTTTTACTCTGGCTTCTAATAAGAATGATGCTTTTATTGATTGTTGATAGAAATCATTTCTCTAGTTCTTCTTGTCAGGAAAAGGAGGGATAGAAGCTACATTGGGGTCTTGTAGAACCTCTTCATTCTGAGAGGAGATAGAATAGATTTAACCAAATTACTGACTTCTAAGATGAACTTTACAGAACCAACAAGTTTACAGTCGGAAGATATTTCATCTAAGACAAAAGCCAAAAAAAAAAAAAAACATGCAGATGAGCTACTACAAAATTGAGAAGACAAAGTGATTAGTAAGGCCTACTTTCGAATCTTTTAGTTATGATGACAAATTCCTTAGTGAGCATTGAAAAAATAATAATAAATTCATCAATATGGAGCATAACCTTGAATGCTCAAAGTCAAGCAAGAAAGGAGGTTCATTAGATAAGATTGTGTTCCCTACAACAAGAGTAGCATGTGAGTGAGTGAGTTTAAATTCAATAAATCTTTAGTGAGTAAGTGAGTCTAAGATATGTAATTATTGAGCAAATTGAATGATGGGGCATTAATTGATACGTCATCAAAAATTGTATTTTCATGATTTTTTATGTAAAAATCTTTGTGTATTTTATTACTCTTGCACTCCTCTCTTTTTATATCTATCTGTGCTGGATTTTTGTTCAAAGCTAAAAAAATTAAGCTCTTCATATCTCTACCCTCATGAATGTTCCAGGATGCAACAACAATGATGTTGAATGTGATGGCTAATAAACATGTGATGATGTTGGCTAGCAATGCTAGGGTAGAGATTGTTGGGAAATCATGCAACATCATTATAGGGGATCAATTAATGCATGTGTCGTTGCATGTAGAAACACATGATTGAGAGATTTGGGCATGATGAACAAAGTAACAACTTGGTAGGGTGGGCAAGCAATTAATTAATAGCGAGGACATCCAAAGTGGGTCCAACAATAGGAAATATATAGCCATTAGAAGTATGCTTAGAGAAATAACTTAGAGACATTCTAAGAGGGCTTCTCAAGATAAATCCAATAGATATTTTTGCGAGAACCATCCATGAGAGAACTTTCACATTATAGTTTAGAAAAATAAAACTCAAACTAAAATGACATCCTAGGATTAGTGTATGTTTGATAATATAGATTGTAGAATCTTGGAGGCATTCTTGAGCTCCTTGGAAGAGAGAGAGAGAGAGAGAGAGAGAGAGAGAGAGAGAGAGAGAGAGAGAGAGAGATTTTGGAGAGAAACTAATATGAAGCTTTATATAAATTTTCCCAAATTATTCATCAACCTATAGCATCTATATATAATTATTTACGTAAGTGTTGTCTTGTGGAATGACTTAACCTAAAATTGGACCAATCCTAATAATCTCCACATTGGTCCAAATTTTACAATGAAACAAAAAACGAATGAGAAATCTTAAATGTTATCGTACTATCTTGACCAAGCAATAGCACCTTGCTCTCCATTCCAACGATCACCCATTGGATGCTACACCTCCACCTTGCATCAAATCTTCATGCTTCCCTGCCTTGACCGAGAGCCACTGCTTCGCTTGCTTCCATCAAGAACAGTGTCTGTCATCATATTTCATCTCTCGACCATTCTATCATTTTCTTCCAATGAATCAAGATCCTACACTCTTTAAACTTAGAATGAGATCCTTGAATAGTTGCTTCCCAATCTCATGCATTTTTTATACCTATTGAGTGAAGCGACCGATCTTCTCCAGAATGCACTACATGCTAGATTCCATCTCTTCGGACACCTGGATCATCTCATTCAAACCATTGATGGCCATTTCTTCCTCTACACCAACTTTGACTCCTTTTTCAGTTCCCTTAGCACTTCCTTTCATCATCATCCTATACTTTTAAGTGTTCTGTAGGAGAACTCTTTGGAAGCTTTGTTTGTATAGTCGATCATGCATAGCAATTTTATATCATCCTGCCATTTCTCCATTCATTTTCTTCAAAGAACAACCCATGAATAGTTTTCCTGTATTCATCTCTCTTCGACCCTCAGCCCTCCTCTTCTATGCCTGACTGAAGCATGGCTGCATCTGCCTAACACTAGTCCATCTCTAGCTTCCGCACGTGAATTACACCTAGCACGACCACAGACCCATGACCCGCGTGCTTGCCACTGCCCACTCAGAAACCCATCCGCACATGGAAACCTACGCCTTCACCTCTGTCCACAAGTCTCTGATCGCACATAGCATGAGTGAATTCACATCCCAACACAGTCTGATCATGAACTCGAACCCGCCATCCGATTCCTCACGCAAGAACTAGTCATTCATGCAAAGATGCAACCTTTGTCCGAGCCACCTAATTTCGTTTGCAACACTCTCCCGCTATGATCGAACACTGGGTATTCTTGGAGTTGTTATGAATCTTTCAAACCATAGAACATAACATCACAAGAATTTTGTTGGCTAAATTTTGAAGCCTAATGGACCCTCTACCGTGCCAAAGAACAAACCACGCTTTCAAAGCATGTGCTAGAAGCATGAAAAATACACTTGTGTGTGTTCTTTATGTGGATCAAAATACCTGGCACTACAGGAAAAATATCAATTACCGATAATTTTTTTCGGTAGTTAGCATTACTTTTCAGGCAGTTTTGGGAGTACTACCGTCTGTTTTCTGGTGGTTTGCAAACCGTCGGTATAAAGTGCGTACGAAATGAATTACGGAGGTTAATTTTTGGGTGTTAACTTTACCGGCGGACTAAATGGCCAGTAAATTCTGGCGGTCATAGCACCGACGACCATCGGTTAATTATCGACTGCTTACCGGCTATCCCAAACGCCGGTTTTACTGGCGGCTCGACCGCTGGTAAATCGCCTGAATTTACCGGCTAGCTGCTCGACCACTGGTATTTACTGGAGCCTATATTAAATTTTTTGCGGTTAAAAATAAAAGATTGGTATCGAAGTTTTCAGTGGCCAAACAGTCGGTAAAGGCGCAACGAAAACAAAATACTGTCAGCTTAGCCGAGGGTTATTATACCGCCATTAATTCTGGCGTTGTGTATTATTAAAAACGGCCGGATAAACCGCAGGTAAATACCGACGATCAGACAGCCAGTTTAACCGTCGGTAATTCTAGTGGTTATATGACCGCCGGTAAAGGCCATTTGTAATCCCTGATTTTCCCTATATTGTGGGATGAATTACTCACAGAAGCTTCAATTTGATGACATGGACCAAGAACTCTCCCTCCTTAATCATCTCCAGTAAGCTCTGATACCAATTGTAGAATCTTGGAGGAGTTCTTGAGCTCCTTGGAAGAGAGAGAGAGAGAGAGAGAGAGAGAGAGAGAGAGAGAGAGAGAGAGAGAGAGAGTTTTTGGAAGAAAACTAATCTAAAGCATTATTTAATTTTCCCAAAATTATATATCAATCTATAGCATCTATATATAGTTATTTACATAAATGTGATGTCTTGTAGAATGGCTTAATTACCTAAAACTAGACCAATCCTAACATAGATCAACATTGCATAGAGCATTTGAGGATAATGGAGTTTGTATTTAATGTTTAGGTGATCTTTTAGTTTTGGAAGAGGTCTATCTCCCACGCCAATGCCAAACAAACACAGTCCTTCCGAGTGTAGAGAAGATAAGGATGAGAGGAAGATGGGGCGAGTAATGACAGAATAATGCTTGGGAAATTTTCCATTTTAACATATTTTTTTA